ATCTCATTCGCCTGCACCTCACCCGATAGCAGCAACCGGTCAAGGTTTCTCTAAACACTAGTATATAGTGGGAATAGCAGGTGTCAGCTCCATTCTTGGGCTTTGGATGGAATTATCCTGTATTTCCCTTGCCTCCATTCCCCTATCTACTTCTTTTAGTGTCGAGTCCATTCCATCCATGCTTTTTTAAAACGTTACATCACGACTTTTTATGCTAGCCATTGAAATACTTTGCTGGAGAATTATCTTCACACTAATGTGCACAAAGAACTACTGACTATGGTCTCTCTAATCACATACCAAACTACAGTGCTCGGTGTGTGTGAGCAAAAGGCCTGTGTCAACAGCAAATTCTACAACATTGACCCTGTTGGAGCTATTAACCCTGTTCGTAGAGGCTGGTATCCTGGAACATGGAAGATACAGAATACAGGTTCTTCAGGGCAGTGGTAACTGGGAGCATCATAGAGGTGACACTTTCCCTCTCCATCTCCAGGTCAAAGCATACAATGGACAGAGTTCTCAGTGCACTCTGAAAGTCTGGCTGTGGCTCTGTGGTTAGCAGTTTGCCCTTGTGAAACTCAGGAATATTGCAGGGTTCATAAAGATTTCTGCACAAGGGCCTGTTTCTTTGCGGGGAATCGGGGTCTTCTAGAATTAAGGACTGGGCAAAGACTGAAAACCTCCCACTCTCTCATATTTCCATACATTATCAGGCAAATTCAAGTAGTCCCATCTGAGATCAGACCCCATTGGGGAAGTCTCTGTGCAGATACGTAGTAAGAAACTCTCCCTGGCCTGAAGAGTTTACAATCTAAGCAAAGACATACAAAGGGTGGGAGAAAGATGCATTATAATCCTTACTTTAAAGGTAGGAAACTGAGGCACACAGAGATTAAGAAACACGCCCAAGGTCGCACAGGAAGTCTGTGGCAGACCCAGGAATTTGACTTAGATTTCATATCTCCCAGTTCAGAGTCCTAACCAACCACACAAGGCCATTATTCTTCTCTTAGCTGTAGACAACTACACACACTCTCTCTAGCTTCATCCCAGGACTTCTGTACTACAGTCTAGCTGGGGTGAGGCAGGTGAGGAGCCATCCTATGCGTAAGAAGCCACGTGTTCCTTGCCATCAAAACTAGCACAGCAATAAAAGCTAATTCACGTGGTGACAGCGTCCTGCATGTCAGCTCTTAGCACTGATTGCCCCTTCCACGGTGGATGTGGGAATGCCACCATACACCAACTACGATGAGCAATTCTCATGATTCTTAGCTTCACTAATGAGTGCTATTTTCTCCCTGCTTTAATCCCGGCTGGACGGAATCACAGCACAAGACAATAGTGTTATTTCTGTTCCCTTTGAAACTCTTACCAGATCCTATTACATATAAGCAGCAGAAGATAATTACAGTGTGTACTTGAGTTTCATTAAAGCTACCACCAACTCTTTCACTTCTCTGCTAGGTTAAATCAGAGATTACCTCAACGCAGCACTTATCCAGTAATTGTTTGTGATAGTAGTTTTACCATCTGTCTTTAATGTTATGTTGTCCCCAGTTGAATATACAACTTTACACCCAATAACCAAGCAGATGTTATGGGTAATGGTGCACATTGTCAGGGCCCTGCAGAATAAGTAACTTTAGGCTGTCATCTCACAGCCCTTCTGAAAGTCACCCACAAGAACTCATTTTCCATGATTTCACAGTTCAGAGTTTGCCCACTCTCTCTTCTCAGCCAGAAAAATGGTTACATGTGAGTAGCTGCTCTAACTATGTAATAATGATGCCTACTCCACTGTAGCTGTGCCTGGCTGATCTTGACCCTTTGACCAATTCCTTTATAGGGGTTTATAATAAGGAACATGAAAGGGAAAATAATTCAGGAAGAGGAGTGTGTGTGTGTGTGTGTGTGTGTGTGTGACGTTTTAAAAATGAACGTAGCGATTGATAAAAGGTGTCAGCTTGTCCAGCCATGGAGATTGAAGTCCTCTGTCTATCCAGAGAGCATGTACAGCATAGGAAGGTTCAAAGCAAACTTCCTGCAAATACCTTGCCCATGTGACTCAGTCCTTCGAAGTGGAAAGAAGTATTGTAGGGGTGAGAGGATAGTTCATTCTTCATGCCTTGCAGTCCTTGCCAGCTAGAATGCAGTAAGTGCCTGTTGGAGGGTAGGGGGGTTTGTGCTTTCTGATCTAATGATACTTTTGGCGTGCCAGTGACCATACTATCTAAGGCACCATTCATTAAGAACCGGGGCGTGAAGGCTACCAACATTTTCACATAGGTCAGCAGCCACTTGATAACAACACTGACTTTTTGGGTCACTACCAACCGGGTGTGAATCTCATCTGCTGACTTATAGATAAATGCCTCTCTTTTTCCTTACCAACCCTCACAACTATCTCATTTACACTGATTTAGTTATTTATTTATCTAAGCTATCAGCTGCTTGTGGAGAAACCTCACTGACATTTCTCCCGTCCTTCCTATCCAGAAGGATCATACCGCAGCAGAACCATGAAAGAAATCAATTTCTTTATCCTGGAGAAACTGACAGAAAGTCTTTATGTTGCAGCCACACTATTTGAAGGATCATTTCTCCACAAAGGAGGGATATTAACTTCCTTTTCATTTATTTCTATGCCCGATCCACCATCCTTTTCATCAGCCGGCATATGTGCAATCCAGACAGAAGGCAGTCATCAAAGGGACAGACCCCGACCCCTCCCAAATTCTGCTGCTTCTGTTGTTGTTGGAGCTGTACAGTTATTGAACTTTGCAGACCTGCTGGGCCTGGAGAGTGAAAACGCCATCCAAAGCCAGCAGGGGTGAAGCTGTGTGGCTCAGAGATATGGCCTGTGGATTGGAAAGTGCCGGTGGTTGCTGTGGTATCGTGAGATTCCTTATTAATGTCAGCGGGGCCTTTAACTAAAGATGTTTGTAAGTCAAAGGGCTCATGAAACTCTGGGAGGAAATGGTGATTGCACTGTAGTAGCCTGTGGAAAAGAGAGAGGAGGGCTCTGCAGGCCAAGCTTATTTCTCTGTAGAGGAGGACTATCCTTGACTATGAGCCGGGGAACAAGACATAACCAGTCTGTCATTTCATACGGTGTAGGAGAAAAAGGACACAGGAGAAAGATGGCATTTGTTTTGGTGATTATAGTGGGTTTCCTCACCCCTTTCTGGTATCTGAGCCAGGGCTCTCCTTTGCCAGACTTGCTCTACTTGTAAAGGTCAGACCATAAGGAGACCTTGACATTTCACCAACTTCAACATGCTGCAACCACTTTTTGACTTATGTCCCTATTATTGCCACATGTGCTTGCCTCCTAGGTAAATGATATGATTGCTCTCAGTTTCATCATGATGATGTGGTTTCCCGATGTAAATCTCACAAGGTTTCCAAGCTGACTCATACGTCATCATTTTCTGATGTTGCATCATTCACGTTATGTCAGGGCACTGAGTGTCCCGGGCACCTAGCTGGTATGACATGAGACAAGCTGGTTAAAATCCAGATGGATAGCAATTCTCCTCCTTTGTGGGACTCCCATCAGAGGGCTCTGTGGATAACATGGCTTGGTTATCCACCTTGCTCACAGATGCTGCCAGTGGCTCTTTGTGAAGCAGTGGCTGGTCAGAGCGGTAGAATTTTCCCCTATCCTCAACCTTAAAGAATCATTTACCACTAAGTTTTACTGTCCCCAAGTGTTAAAGTCCTTCAAATCCTAAGGTCACGAAAAAAAAGGGACCAGAGCAGTGTGCCACTGCCAAACTCCTGTGTCATCTCCAACACTTTTTCCCTTGTGGTATTAATTTTGGGACATAACAAAGCAAAAGACCCAGACCCTCAGGCTCTTTTCCCTAGGCTGATGCACTCATCCACTCTCAAATCTACAGATTATCTTCCCTACTGCTGCTCCTGGGAATATTTCCCTTCCATACATTCTACATTTCTCCATTCCTCTAGTGACGAGAAGAATCTGATCTAACATAACAGTCATGACACACAGCTGCAAAGTGAGCTGTAAGACTCATCTATTTCCTCAGGCTTTTGCTTGAGTGTGTGACGACAGAGACTTGTTTTAGAGAACCCTGAAAATTGGCACTGCTTCAGTAAATGGTGTATACTGTTTTTTAAAGAATGTGCGTGTGCTCAGGGCACATCTGATCGGTGTAATGTAGACATCTATAAATAACTAAATACACAGTTAAATATAAAGGAGGACTGGTGCCTTTCAGGAGAATGGCTCGTTAGGGTCCGCTAGCCATTCCCCTTTCACTGAGATACAGCTCTACTTTTAGTTAGCCGTGGGCAGTTTTATGCAGTACGCCAGGCCGCTGGAACTTGGCAAGAGCAAAGACTGAAGGGAAAGCCTGTTCCACACCTAATGTCTTATGCTCCCTATTTCATAGGGGTTATTGTCAGGGCTCAGAGTAAAATGGTTTATATCTATCCAGCACACTTCTCCCTCATGAGCACCTGGAGCTTCGAGAACTATGGACTTAGGAAGAGTGAGTGGACATCAGGGGACATGACCATCCTATGTTTTATAATGTAAAAGAAGGTGTGCTGAAGAAACAGACCCCCCCGTGTATGCAGGGGAAATAAGGAGCTCCAGGGAGGAAAGGGAGAAACACCAGGAACACGCCTACCATTCCTCCCTGGTCCGTTTTGAAGGAAGGATGCTCCCTTCCAGAGGAGGGAATAGACAAAAGCCAGCTGAGCAGCCAGGAGGAGCATGAGGAAAGAGTGAAGAAGGCAGTTGAATCCACACCTGCTATCTAGCATCCATGAGAAGGTAAAGTACCTACAGCAGTTATGAGAGAGGGTGGAAAGCCTGGTACCTCCCAGCCACCAGGAGGAAGGAGAGAATTAATGGGCACGGCAAACAAGTATGGGGAATGTGGGCAGGTTAAAGGATGTTTGCTGGGAAAGTACTGCCACATTTCCCCCTCACCGGTCGGTGTGGAAATGGCTGGGCCCTTTACCTCTGACACGGTACAGTTGAGTTGGAAGATCTGTCCTTCTCCTTCGACCTGCCGTACGCAGAGTTTACAAACCAGCTCCAGCGTGCTCAGGCTGAACCTTTCCAGGGTGAAGGTACAATGTAGATTTCTCTGACACCCACTCCAGATGTGGTAAAAAGGAATTTCCTGCAGGAGGAAAATTAAGGAAAAATTTGAACTGATCCTGGGCATCTACAGTCTTAATGTATCTCAGCAAATTCTCAGCTCATCTCTCAAAAGGCTCTGGAATGAATATGGCAAATGGGGTCATGAGTGTTGTGAGGAGATACTGTGCGGTCTCTCTGAAGAAGATGTGGCTCTGCTCTTCAGCATGGTGGTCCCCAGTCTAGCGTCCCGTGAAAAGCATTCACTGCACGGGAGACTAGCAACTGAACCACGCAATGGAAACAGACAGAATAAAAATAAGCAAATCCTCCCTCTCACTGCCTCTCAGTGATGAGAAACCTTCACAAATCCTGGGATGCTCCGCTGTTTTTTCATACATGTTACAGAGGTGGGTGTGTTTGTTTTCCTGCTTCCTTAAGGCTGAACCTGCTGCTTGAGTACAAAGGGCCTGGGTCCTCGAAAATGCTCAATGCAACTCTCTCTGTACTGGGCCCTAGTGGCCAATGCTGGAAACAGGCTGAAGAGTGCATGTATTCTGGCTGGTAGTAACCCCATGCACTAATCCTTGACTCTAAGGCTATCCTTACGCAACAGCTTATACCGACATAACATGTATCACTCGGGGGTGGGGGTGGGGGTGAATAAATCAATGGACGTTACACCGACAGAAGCATCGGTGTGGACAGCGCTGTCAGCAGGAGAGCTTCTCCCGCCGACATAGCTACTCCCGCTTGTGGGAGCTGAAGTAGTTAAGCCAATGGAAGAGCCCTCTCCTGTCAGCTTAAAGTGGCTACATCAGAGAGCTTACAGCAGCGCAGCTGCGTCGGTGCATCTGCGCCACTGTAAACTCTCTCGTGTAGCCGTGCCCTAAGTTCTGTCCTCTCAGCACTGAATTTTCCTGTCAGAAGCAGATTTTCTGATTGTACTGATCAAAATGTCTCTCCCAGTGCATTGTTAAAAGGGAATTTCGATTTTCATGCAAAATTAAACAAACCGTGGCCTGTTATGTGGCCTGGCACTAATGAGGATGGTTAAAAGAAACCAAGCCCTTTACTCCTCTCCACTGCGCAAAAAAATTGAAAATACACACTGTGTGTAACAGAGGGGAAAGGGCTGATTATGAGCAACCTTCAGAGTACAGGAGCCTGAACAGTCACTGTGTCTCGTTTTTAAAAGAGCGCAACTGTGTCTCGCTACGTATCTTTAAGCCCTTCTATTCTGACCCATGCGTTTCAGCCATCGTCCAGGCATTCTGTCATTTTTACCTGGTATTTAGCCAGCAATTTGCTCTTCCAGAGCGAATGGGCAATGTCGTGTATGGACAGACGGAGGTTGTGGGTGCTTCCCTTAAAATGCAGAGCCTTTGGTTCTTCCAGTAACTGTCCTCCCATCTGCCTCTCCAGCTGTAGAACTTCCTAAGATTCAGTAAGAGCAACAGAAAGTGGTCAGCTTGGAGACATTATTTACAAATGTGCCATGAAAGGACATGCTATAATTTTGCTCCCTGACAGTCAGCTGCAGCGGACGAGGTAATCTGTATAACAGGGAAGATACGCACACACACCTTGTAAGGAATAACACTGCCAGGTAAACATACATCTATTACAGGAAAGACATTTGTACGAAGGGGTTGGAGAATAATCACACACATCACTCTTATGGCTTTACATCATACATCTAGTGCAAGAACACAAATACAGCCTGTATTATCCAGGAGAACCTGGATTTCCTTTTAGGAAATACATGACATGACAGGCTGGGTCCCACGTTCGGCTTGCTTAATTGCTTGAGAGAGTCTAGGTCAAAGCCCAAGCACACAGCCAATGGTTGCATATTGATAAAGTGTCACCCTGGACACTACACACCCTGAGGGCACTTAATAGCAGCCTTAATGTGTTGCCTTCAAGAGCTCCTACCCATGAAGGTGTGGTCCCATCAATATACAACTGGTGATTGGCACCAACCAATCAGATTATCCCTGTGAATCAGAATATGCAACAGCAATAAGAAACCTGTTTGTCACAGGGCTATTATTACCTACTGAAAACATGCAAAACCGTAGAGAGAACACTGTGATAGAGAGGTGTGTATCTAAGCGTGAAAGCACAGTGGTTCAGAGAGCGACTGGAACAGAGACTGAGCAATGGCTGATGAGAGACGGGGGAGAAAAGCTTTTGCTCTGATACACAAAATTAATAATATGACTATGAGTAATGACACTTACAGTGAATACTGGGCCTTCTCCCCATCTCTGCACGCTACCCACAATAACAATGCCAGCCACTGGCAATGTACATGAAAGACGAAAGCACAAATGCATATATGCTGCTCTTGTATATAAACCCAGCCAGACGCACGATCGCACACATGCACTAGCTTTGGCATACACACAGGTGCACACTGAGCACCACACACCAACAAGAAATCAGTGGCTTTTGAAACCAAGAACAGAAAGTAAAAGATGGGGTAATTGAAGTTGCTTCCACTTCAGCTGTGAGGCATAATAAACTGGTGTTGATCACATTCAGTTTCTAGTTAGCATAATAGAGAAAGCTGATGTCCCCAATGAACCTGGCACCTGACAAATTCTAAAGCTAAAATGATGTTTGTTTACCAGCTATTAGAAGAAAAGAAACATAATTAGAAACCTTTTAGATTAAGGTTGTGCCAATCAATCAGTTCCAGCTTCTTTCCACTGTGCCCTAATTACCTCATCAAGATGTCTAAAGAGCAATCGATAGTAATTATCTGATTACTATAGATCTTCATTATGTTCAAATTATCTCTCTGGGATGTCTGAAAGAAGATTCATGGTATTTTGTGTGGTAATTGTACCTACCAATGTCTCAAGCATACATACAGGCACATATGGTTAAACAACAGACACGGAGAAGGCCTGGCTGTGAATAGCAGCTTTGACTACACTCATCTACTTTCCCCACCACTGGAGTTGGGGCTGCAGCGGGAGCTGCTGGTGCTCAGTATTGCTAGTGGGAAAAGAAGACACTGGATTTGGGTTTCTAATTTTAGGCATACAAGCTTTGAAAGATTGGTCTTTCTCCCTGATAGACATTTATGGGAATGGAAGAAACCCACTGTAAACCTCTGCTGAAAGAAGCTGAGGCTCAAATTCAGGCTAAACCACAGAAACTGAAAATGGAGAAGAAGGGACACCCAGTTCATCTCCGGCCTTTCGGCAGGCCGGCACAGAAACGTGTGGCCTTAAGAACTTATCTGTGCTGCCTTTACACCATGTATTGCATTACTTGCCTCTTTGGCTGTTTGTTCTACACGGCCATGACCTTCTAAGAGAAGAAACCCTCAGCCTGTGCCTTTCTATCTAGTTCCAAATCCTGACCATTAAGTCTGCCTTTTCAAAGAAGTCAGAACAGGCTCCCACCTCGTTCCTCTCAATGCCCACTGCAAACCTAACAGATTGTCGTCTTAGTATTTATCTATAAAGAATGTTATATAAGGTGTCAAATGAAAGCTTATCTGATACTGGCCACAATAAATATTGTGAGATGTGTGGGGTTATTTAAGAAGTTGTAGGCATGTACAGAAAATATGTATTAACTATGTAAGCAGGCAGGATAGATAAGCGGGTTTTTCCCAGACTCCTTTTCAAAGGAATGTTGATTTGCCCATCTGCCTAGGTCTCCAATGTCAATCAAGCACCGTGCAGGTCAATACAAAGCAAGCTTCATTTGCATATTAAGCAACAGGAAAAGGAAGTTAAGAGGAAATGAGAAAGACAATATGGCATCAGCACATCAAAGAACAAACAGTGCGGGAGAAGACCTTTGTCTGGAGGGTACCTTTCAAGGGGATGTATTTCAAAGGTTTTCTGGTCTGTGAGGAGAAGGAAAAAGAATGTGGTGGTGGTCCACCACTGAGGGAGCAAAAAGGACAACCCTTTTTGTATCCATGAAAGCTGGATCCTTTTTGTATCCATACAAGTTAGAGATGCTGGGAGGTTACTTTAGTTGAGAAACTGAATGTCGACAAAGATTTTAGCCTGCTAAAGTTAAGTTTAGCCTCCTAGAAGCTTATTATACCTTTGTTTTATTTCTAACTGTATCTGTTCCTACTCGTCTTACTCACTCTCACTTGGACTCCCTAACTTTGTTAATAAACTTCTCCTTGTTTAGCTCCAGCAAGAGTCTCTTTTGCTAAGGCAGAGGGGTAACAAGGTCAATCCATAATTCTGGGTACCTGGGAAAGTGTCTCACGCCTCCTTGTATAAGCACCTTGATGACGCCAGTAATAAGATACAAACTTATACCCTCTTAGGTGTCTTCTTGTTGGGGTTGAATAAAATACGTCTTTGCTCAGCAATGGCCCTCATTCAGTATCCTCACCCCGACCATGTAAGCAAGATACGAGCTACCAATATTTTGAAGCTGCCTTCTAATTAAAGCCACAACAGGAAGAACTTACATTTAATATAAGGTTGTGGCTTCAAAAAGAAAATATATGATTTGCTTTTCTCCATGAGACAGGACATATGTGCATGAATCCAAATAACCAATAGAAAGTAACATGAATAATATGTTACTGGAAACCCAATATCACACGAGGGCAGAAGGTAAAAGCAAGTTGGCATGCCTGTTAAATTGTGATCTGCTTCATCGATACAGTGTGGGAGTTGTCTTGTGGACCTGTCTCTTCTGTGATTGCCATATTGAGAAAAGGAGCTCAGCCACTAGAGTGACAGGAGCCATTTAAATGGATAGATGGATAGACAGGAGTAAAGCTGTGATTCTCAAGCATTTCCATACTGTGACCCATATGACAACCGAAACGTTTCAGGTCTCCCCTCCCCTCACATCTAATCATAACGAAAGGGACCGTGATTGTGATCCCCCCAAAACTTGTTTGCAACTCCCCTGGGGGTCACAACCTTCAGGTTGGGAACTTGTAGAGTGAAGGAAACTCTACTATGGATCAGCATTAAAGCAGGAGTCAGCACTTCTGCTTCACAAACAGAAGGAAAAGAAACAAGCAGATTTCACAATAATCAAGCCATTATTTGTGACAAGTCATTAGACTCCCCAGACGGCTCAGGCAGTTCTAGGGAGAGAGAGTTTACTCTGCATGATTAGCGGGAAAAGCTGTTGGATAAATACAGTACTGTGCTTTCTATAGCAACTGCTTATCGTTCCTTAGTAATTGTTGGGATGGATACACTACTGGTCAGATTTCTTATTTCGAAATAATAATAGAATGCATTTGGCTGACTATTAAAATAAACACTTAAACCCCTAAAAAGGCTCCCCAAGAAACTCCCCAAAAAGCTGCAAGGGGAAACTGCCTCCAATCTGCTTCCCACCCCCAACCTACTCCTCTTTAACAGGGGTGCTGGAATAATTCCTATTATAGTGGGGGTACTGAAACCACAGAAACCATGTACTTGGTGTTTATTACTACTACTTCAAGCCAGGGGGTGTGGCAGCACCCCTGGTTCCAGCACCACTGCTCTTTAATGTGACTAAATTCAGCTCTGGGGAATATGGATTCAGCAACCTCTCCTCTGGGATGTGAGGAGTTCCAACCCATGTCTCATCTGCCACTTCTCTGGTCTACCCCCAGTCCCAAATCACTATTATCCCAGACACCCTTCAAATCTCTGTCAAAATCCTGAGCAGCTCTTGTTCCCACTCTCCAACTTTCCACCCAAACCCTCAAGATCCCCTGAAACCACCATGAACCTTCCAGTTATAGATTGGATCCCTTATTATTATTATTATTATTATTAATTATTTGTATTGTGGTCATGCTAGGTGGCCCCAATCATGGATCCACTGTGCAAAGCACTGTACAAACACATCACAGAAAGAGGGCCCCGTCCCAAAGATCTTATAATCCACTTTTTGCAGCCCATCAGTGTTGCCCCTCAATCAGCCAGAAGAGCTGCCATAGCGAAAGCATTCCCTGCCCCTGTCATTCTGCAGAGCAAAGGATTGGGACCCAGCCATCACACCGTGGCCTCATGCATGGCAGTGCAAAGTGCCGCCATTGAACCAAGCTCCACCACACAGATTTTGGTTATCTTCCATGCTTCTCCCTTAATCTTTGTGGTAGAACCGGTCACACAGGGCCTTGCCAGATCAAAATACATTGCAAGGCCTCGTTCATAGTCCTTCATTCTGAGGCCAACCTACTTTTTCCCTTCCAAAGCCTCTTTATTTTCCACAAACTGTGGTTGAAGTGCTCATCCTCTGCTGAAGAAAGCAGACGATGCGAATATCACTCTGTGGACAGGAGGCCACAAGGCACTTGTTCACAAGTCAACTGTCAACTGTCGCCCACCCTTGTAAGCCCAAACATGGTACCATTGATTCAGTGATAGGCCCAGAAGGACTCTTCAGATCTGACTCCAGAAGACACAACATTGCCAGCACCGAGCCCTTTGTAGTACATTCTGAATAAATAACTGAGAGCTGGAGAGGAAGTGAGGGATGAACCAGCAAATTACAAAAGAGGATTTTCCCTCCATTTTACTCAACTGTTCTTGTGACCCTTCGCACAGTCTTATTTATTCAGGTGAACTTTACTGGACAGAGTTCCAAATGCTCAAATAAACGTTAAAAAAACCCCACTGAAAGGTGCCTAATAGAACTCAGGCATCTCCTGTTGCTCAAGCTTTCCGCTCAAACTCACAGCAGCGTTCAAACAGCTCCACCATTTGCTACAAGGCAGCTTTGAATCACTTATTTTCACCTCAGAGCTTAATAAACCAATGAAAATTCCATTAAGACCACTTGGGGCACCTTAGAGACTAACCAATTGGTTAGTCTGTAAGCTGCCACATGTCCTCCTTTTCTTTTTGCGAATACAGACGAACACGGCTGCTGCTCTGAAACCTGTCATTAAGACCACGTGGGCCAAAGGGTATAGAGGCATAAGGGCAGCTTGGCTTTTGGAGATCCTCGGCCTCGCTGGAACAGAAGTCCCTTTTTCCAACTTTTAAAGAAAAAGAAATCACACTATGAGAAAATAATTATGGTTTCCAAAGGGGTTCAGCTCTGACAAAATCATAATTCGCTAGATCAAGTTCTCAGCCGCTTTATAAACAAACTCAGTGCTAGCCTCCACTCCGCTCTTCAGTCCACTGCTTTGCTAAATTTCTCATAGCTATAGAAAGTACTCCCACCACTCCAGTGACAAACATAATAAACTGTAATGTCCAGGAAGACAGGATACTAGGCAGCATTTGAGATGAAAATGGAATTTTCCAGCCACAGTGAAGTCAATACTCTGAGAAACACAAACATTTCCCATATTGAGGCAGTGGGTGTGCACATGTTATGTGGCCTGTTTCTAAGTAAAGCTGTTAACATTGTTCTTCTGTACACAACACACAATTCATGCTGCTTACACATCACTGGCAGTGTCGCTAATTGGGCTTCGATTAGAGTCAGGCTTTGAACTCTTCTTGCTACATAGATGGCATCTGTAGATCTGGTTATAATTACAGAAAATCTTTCTTTAACCTACATTCTTACATATATGTGCACGAATTAGTATATTGATTATAATAAGCATCTGTCTTTATATGTCTGTTATAGGTACTATATATACACATGTATACATATTTGTATGTAATGTGTGTGTAAACTTATGTATATGCTCGAGTTATATACAGAGAAAGTTAGGTATACAGCTGTAGAAAGCAATAGCCTTGATGTATTTCAGCTGCAAATTCTCAGGACAAAAACCAGCACACAGACAGGTATAACAAAGCAATATAAAAGCAAGTGATTAATGACTCAGGAACTTCTTTTATCATTATCAGCTATTTACAAAGAGGTATTTATACATTTCATCATCTCAAGGGAGCTGGCACTTACCATTAAAAATACATGAATAACGAATGAAGCCTTTGTGCACCTTATGGTCCTTTAATAATGCAAAATCTCAGAATTCAGGTTATGATCCAGGTAAACAAAGGAACAAAGAATTCTGGGGGGAAAACTAGTTCAGCATTTGAGTGAAACCGTTATTCAAAGGACAACCTGGGGTTTGGGTGGTTTTTTTTTTTTTTCTTTCTCTAAAACAGTGTCTTGTTGTCAGGTTCTTCCTCCAATCAAAAATTAAATACAATTAAAATAAAATGATTTAAAAATTATCTAGGACAGGGTTCTCAAACTTTTTTTGCTGGGCCCCCCTTTGGAAAGATTTCAGGCTCTGACCACCCCAACCCCCCCAAAAGTGGTAGCAAGCTACCATACATACTCGTAGGGGCACTAAATGAAGCATGTAATCATTATCCTTGCTGTCAAAGGCGCTGAAGCCTTTCAAAAAGTGGAAAGTAGTGTTACCATATTTCAAGTTCACAAACAGAGGACACTACAGGGAGGAGGGGCAAATAGAGGTGGGGGTAGAGCAATACTATATCGTGCCACCTTTACTTCTGCGCTGCTGCTGGCGGCGGCACTGCCTTCAGAGCTGGGTGCCCGACCAGCAGCTGCCACTCTTCTGCTGCCCAGCTCTGAAGGCAGCGCGTTCGCCAGCAGCAGCACAGAAGTAAGGGTGGCAGTACCGTACCATCTTGCACACACCCCTCCTCCTAATAGTCTTGAGATGCCCTTTTGAGTCAGGACCGCAAGTCTGAGAAACGCTGATCTAGAAAACATAAATTACAAGCCACAGCACACTAATGTAGGGTCTATTCACTGCAATTACTGCAATCCTGCTAGAGCTAGATGGTAAAGCGTATGGCATTTACCTTAAGGGCATCCTGAGTGTCATCCAAGCAGTAGACTCGGATGCTGTATTCCAGCGACGAGCAGGAGAGCGGCCCGAAGATGGCCAGCTTGAGACGTTTTGCTGCTGCTTTGGTGGTTGACTGTCCCACCAGGGCGTAGGTGCTAAGTGTTTCTGTCAGGATATGGCAGGATTCTGGGTCTAGCTGGATGTAGCATGGGGTGGTGAAGTTCTCCTCTCCAACCATCACCACATCCTAAGGGATAAACAGGCAGAGTTAGAGAGCCAAAGCCAGACACCAGAGAAGCCCATTTGTTTTGCATTAATCAGGATTGGGCTAGGGGCCAGACAAAGCCTACTCAGAGATAGAGCCTCGACTGCAGAACTCATCCAAGTCCCAGAATTTATCTTAAGTCCTTCCTGTTTGGGTCATTTTATTAATCAACATTTAACATTCCTCTGCTTCTAGATTCCCTCCTGGGCTGGTACAGGGAGATGCAGCTGCATGCTAATGGTCTATACCTGCCATTGGCTACATAAAACTTTTGATTGTTTTACGTGCAGCATGTAGATGCTTTTAGAGTGATGAGCAGAGCAGGGCGAATTATGTAAAATATCATGGAAATTTTGCAGGAGAAATGCAACAGCATTTGTTGAATGACCTATCTGAGGAATTTTATTTGATCAGCTCCAGACATGAGTACTCAATACATTATCTATGTGAAAAATAAGAGCCTTAATGTCTTAATTTTCATAATCAGTGGTTGTTCGAATTCAGACAGAAGTAACCTCAGTGATGGCTGATTGCCACATGTACAAAGAATATCACCTGCTGCTTCATCAGAATAATCCCTCATGACAAGACTGCCGGGCCAAGGCAAAACACATACAAACCAAATACAAACAGACTGCTTTTTCACCATCAACCCTGTGCTTAGAAGGAAACAGCCCCCCTGCCATTTTCCACATTCAGAACTGTACATTATAGTCTCCACATGGCACAATGTGCTTTAAATGGCTTGGGAAAAAAATAAATAAAAGGTGATAGTAATAGATTGTGCTGCTGCTAAAGCAGCTCTGGGCTGCGTGCGGTGCTGCAGAACTCATCCACTCTGCGTTTGCTGTCATGAGGCGAGGAGCAGGGATCTGGCAGCGGACCGAGCAGCTGGATTCAACCGAGTGTGGGAGCAGATTCAGGACCTCAGGCTAAGGAAGGGCGAATGCAGCACATTTGCAAAGGCGACATCACCTTCTCCAGGGCAGAAGAGAGGCTGCCATCTGCAATGCGGATTACACCCCCCTACCGGCCGCGTCACGAAACAGTTGTGCTGGCCCTGGCAGGAACTCCTTGCCTACGGCAATCCAAGCATCTGTTGGGGGATAGAGATGGAAGAGCTGTTCCAGAAGAGAGAAGCTGAGACTCTCTGTACTGGAGCCACAGACCTTGTAGACTCTGTGGACAGCATGCAAGAACCAGTCTGGTGTCAGCGTGTTTACCTCCAGCAGCGCAACAGCTCTTCCAAGGACAAGAAAGGAGACTGGAGGAAAAAAATCAGGGGATGCCAGGAATGAACAGAAAACAAATGAGAAACATATGTATAGTGCTGGGAGATACTCCACTGGAGTGCAGGTTAGTCAGCTAGATGCGCATGAATTCACTGGCCCTGAAACCATCCCAGTGTGGAGAAAAGCTGGTGCCACAGGCAATATTCTGTCAAGGATAAACCTGGAAATGGGTCCTTGCTGCTGCCAGTCCAGGTGCCACGTCAGTCACGCTGCCCTCATTAAAACCTACTCAGAGGAGGAAGCCAGAGGGTGCCAAATTTCATGAGAGATAGATACAGAACTGATGGCGGTAGAAAAACAGGCTTTTCAGAAGCAAACAAGTCTGCCAGGAGAACAGTTAGGGGAGGTGGCATCTGACAAAATGCACATCCTATGTAGGTACCTCCACTGTCTCTTCCTGTTAAAATAAAGAAACTCTATAAGCATCCTATCACTTCCTTACTCTGGGATCCAGTTACTTCAGTATTACCAGCACTGACTTCAAGCATCCCATCAAGCTCATCAAGGTGTGTTTTGCCCTAATACTCAATGAGTCTGTAATGCTGCATCCTGGTTGCATGCCTCCAGATCAAGATCAAGAAGCAGTGATACACCAACAGTCTGAGCAGCTTACTGCACTCTGAGAATAGCGAGGAAGAGAGATGGACTATACTCTATATTAAATACACTCATATAGCCCAGGTCTTGCAGCTAAGGATTGTTTGCAGCATTGTTGTCATCTGGTACCCTGTTGAAAACAGCAGTACAAACTAGGGAGGTAGGAACCAGTTTGGAAAATACATTCCCTCTTCTAGAATTGATCCCCAGAACTGACCTTTTCACAATATTTTTCATTTGTCCTTTCTTTCTCCCTGCCTTCTGCCCCCATCGCTTCACCATTGTGGCCAGCTAAGACTGAAACCTGACATGTCAGAATCCCACAAAGACGACCACTGTGCTTCTGTATCTAGCTAACCAGAAGCAGGTGTTCCTGAGAACATATGTGTTTATGGAACTGCTTAAGAGCTGGTCTTGGTTTGGCCAAAGATTCAACCTTTAGATTTTTATCCACACCGACTCCAAACTCTAAACCTTTTGCATTGTGCAAGCTAAGTTTACCATGTTTTAAAAGAGACTTCTAAAGAAAAATGCATCTCCATTAAAGAGTGAGTTGGATTCCTCCAATGGGTAATGAATAGTTTTCCTGTCATTTGAACTGTAATCTGAAAATGGCACTGCTATTCACTATTATGAGTTTTGGCACACAGTTTTAATATTAGTGAAAGTCTATATAGAAAACCAGTCCTCAGTTGTAAATATACCAGTTGTAAAACTATTTGCAGTTTATCCCTGGTTCATATTGGACAGATACTTCTTTCTCTGTCTCAAAGAGAGCACTGAAGTGTTACAAGCTCCTTCTGCATTGCAGGGCATGTTCAATGTCCTCCCTTGCTTGGTAGCCAGCGAAAAGGAAGATGAGATAAATCCAAAAAGACAGCTTTAATTCCAACCCTCCTGACTGTGTGTACTCATTTGAAATAGCACACATTGACCAGGAGCGTGCCTCAGTGCAGAGCGAACTGCAGAGATAGGGGAAGAGAGGAGCTAAAGAAAAATACAAGCAACCTTCCATGAAGACTCAAGATGAAACTCACTGTCCTTAAATGCTGTGGCAAGCTAGCAGCCCTAGGGTTAAATATTTCTCTTGTGCATGAGACCGGCCTGGTGAAGGTTAGTTCTCAAAGGGTAAATCCACCTGGTCGTTAACAAAGCAGAGCCAGGCAGAAAGCACTGTGCAAGTTTCCCGCAAACAACTCTGCTGACATGCCTCCAGACCTCTTTTGAGCAGACCTGGCTAGTCATGCGTAATTTTGCGACGATATTCATTTTGTGTCACAAACAAAAGTGCAATAAAGACTGGGTCAGAGCCCTACGCCCATTTCACTTTTGACCTGAATTATATTTGAACTGAGTTATCCAGAGCTGAGAGGCTTGTGCTCTCCAGTGCACCAGGTAACTATTTCCAGTGCTTGTATAACCACATAGATACCTGAGGGCACTGCTGAGTCCATTGCCAGCAAAATGTTTCACCCACGAAAATCCCAAACTTTAGGCATCAAAGTTATACACATATATTTGGGTTTGGTTTTTGTGTGTGTGTTTCCTTAAGACAAAGAGGGTGAGTGCTCTGTTCAGTCATGGCATATGCTGGAAGTCTGTAATCTCACTGTGAACTCACCTCCCACTGTCCCTGGGCTGCTTGATTCTTCAGCTGGATCTTCCAGTCCTCTGTGTTTGGCTCTGCGCAATGGTGCATAGTTAGAATGACAGGCCGTGTCAGCAAAGCTCCTGGAGGCCCGCAGCTCACCACGGGGGTCAAAAGCGTTTGACTGTCTTCCACTGGTGGCCTGACAAGATTATGAAAAGACATGTTTGTTAGCTGAATTTAAAAGGACCCAGATGCAGCCAGAGTAAAGAAAAGGTCCTTGTCGCAAAAGGATTGGAAACGCACACTTACAGATTTCCACTTTCACAAAGATTTTTGTAAAAAGCACCTGTTTGTTGGGGCGGAGAGAATAAAGAGCAAATAACACCTCATGTTTACAGAGCACCCTTTATTCCTAAAGATGCCAGTGCCGACCAGGAACACAGGCATCATTTCACTCATCAGTGAAGTGCAGCCAGCAGTCTTTAACACAGAGAAAACGTGAATGTGGGCTGTTGAAAGCACCATGAGTGAGAATTTTTCACTGCCTAGACTAGAATTTTAGTGACCGCATGTGAAACGTCACGAGAGGATTCTCGTAACTGGACTGTCCATATGTTATGGGCACACTTTAAAAAAAATGCATTCTGGTTTTAGATCCACCAGTATTGCAATATGATTACCAGATCCAGTGATATTCCCTTAAATTAAAAGAACCAGTAACATATCTACAAGCATAATGAACTTTTAAAATGTGCCCACAGTGGATAGATGTAGTGTGTATGGGAGAAGGAAAAAAGGGAAGAAAAGGTGAGGGGATAGGTGCAACATGTCACACACACTTACAAGAGTGGCAATATACAATGTGATAACGAGGAGGGTGGTAGTGAAATATCTGCAATGAGGGTAGAGTAAATTAAAAACGAAGGAGAATTTGTAGTGGGCTTTAGCAATGGACCACCGGGAGTGGATGAGAGGAATGTAAAAAATAAATAAATCCCAGAATAACTACTGGGGAGTTTAAAATCATAGGATACTGTACTCACGAGTGACTTTAGCCACCCAAACATCTGGTGGCTGACAAAGATAGCAAAACATGGATTATCAAAGACATCCCTAAATTATATAGAGGACAAACTCATGATCCAGAAACCAGGAAATCCAACCATAGGAAAAGCCATCCTGGATGTAGTTCTTATAAACAGGGAGGGAATGAATGAGAGTGTGAGTGCTTAGTGCAGCTAAGCTACTTGAATTTAACATAGTATGCAATGGGTTCACAGGCCCCTGGGTGGCTCACGGCTGAGTCCTCTAGGTCCAATTCTGAAAACACTTAATCATGTATGGACCTGTAATTCATTTAAACTTTGCCATTGATTTCTTTGGGACTACTCATATTAGCAAAAGTATGTATGTGCATAAATGTCTGCAGAATCAGGGTCTTTGTCTCAACCAAAAAAAAAAAATGCTAAAAATAATGTAAACCTTGGGTAAAATTTTCAGAAGAGTCTATGTGATTTAGGAGCCCAAGTCCCATTTTCAAAAGTGACTCAGGCACTTAAGTCATTGAAAGCCAAGTTTTGACAGTCATTTTTGAAAATGGGATTTAGGTGCTTTTGAAAATTCTACCCCTTGTCAGTATAGTTATTGGTAAAAAGCAGACAAATGAAGGCTGACATGGAAAAGCTGAAATCTCTATAAAACAGCAAATCCAGATTATATATATATCTGTGCGTCCTATGACAATTAGCTAATGAATTTACTAAACTAATGGTAATTATTTTTTAAAAGTCATGGACTGAAAAGTAACAAACGTAGTATGTATCTTTCAAAAAGAGTAAAATACAGCAATTCTGTCAACTATCATCTGTTAACCACGTTGTTTTGACATGGCAAAACAAAAAACAAACAAACTCCTGAACAACCAACCACTTATAGGGAAAAAAATTCGACTGAATTTTGTAGTCTCTTCATTGATTTCATTGGGAGCTGGATAAGTCCCTTACAAAAGAGACACAAAATCACAAGGTCACATTTTCAACAAAATATTCCTTATTTTTCAATAAATAACATTTAAATAATTTAGCAGTAAATAACCAATACCTTAAACCATTCGCAGACTTACGTTTCTCTCCTGTACTTCACTACAGTACTTTGGATATTAGTGGATTCAGATTTGTAAAAACTCCTGGAGGAGTCTTTCTCAGTAGGTTAAAAAGAGCATGACTTGTTATTAGAAAATCTTTAAAATCACAGTTTTTGTATTTACAGTCACAGCTGTGGCAAACCCACAGACTTAAACATCTGGTTAACTTAACTCCATCTTAAGGGCAACTGAACCATGAGGGCGGGGGGGGAAGCATATTGACTTATAAAGAACAAGTCATGTCACACAAACATGATAGATTTTTGGATTGAACTATAAAATTAGTGGACAAAATTAATGCAGCAGGTATAATGTATCTTGCCTTACGTAAAGCCTCTTCTACAGTATCTTAAATCTTTTTGCCTGAATAGTTAAAAATTGGCTTGGATGTAAGCACTGTTGTATGGAGTAAAAAGAGGCTGACTGGACATAATAATAATAATAATAATAAAAAAGTAATGACAGCACTTAAAGCGATCTCAAAGAAGTATTAAGTCAGTCATTGGCCTATGACAGATTTTCATTACAATATAACAAATGTTAGGGCTCAGACAGAGAGAGGGCCTGATTCTGGTCTGCTTTGCAACATATGCAGCCATTTACGCTTGCACAAACCAAGTGCAAATTAAGCATTAAATACTATCGCGTCCTAATGGAACCACTTTACAGCCATTTTGCACAGGAATAAATGACTACACAAGCAGCAGTGTGGTGGGGAACCAGGCCCAGAATGGTTAAATAGTCTCTGAGTGGGATGGGAAGCAGATGTAACACTAGAGAGGAAAGGTCAAATGGACTAATATGCCAGTCACGGAGGTCAGGCTATCTGCATCAACCTGCATATCTGCAAGCTGGTAATGACCTGATAATGATGAGACAAGTGGAGTCTCACATGGTGTTCCCCAAGTAGTAAATAGTAACTGAAAAACCAGAAGACAAAAGCATACCTATGAGATTTATCTCCAATTTTAAGTGTACACAAAACATTTTCTCAGTGCTTGTGCCCTTCTCGTGGGCATATACAACATGGCACCATCATGAATCGCCTCATGCCCAGAAAAGAACAGAAAACATACAGTTGTGGGGACAATTGATGCTGCATTCTCTATTTGCCGGTCAAATGCACACTCAGACTCTACCTGTCAGTGCCCTGGATGAGGGCAGTTATGTCTAGTGGTTAGAGCGGGAGTCAGTCAGGAATCAGAGCCCAGGATCACAGGCAGGGTCAGAGGCCAGATGCCAGAGCCAAGGTTCAGAGCTGAAGTCAGGAATTGGAGCTGAGGGTCAGGACCAGGTTACCAGAGCGAGGCAAGGCTATGGCCAAGCAGGACAGGAGCTATCGCAGCCATGGGCAAATGCTTTGAGCAGCCACTGAACTGCTGCTGGGCTTCAGAACTGCTGACTCTTCCTACCAATCAGGTCTGGCAGTCAATCTGGCATCCTACTACAGGCCATCTGTACTCATTAGGTTGCCTGGAGACTGGCAGTGCTGCAGGCCCTGACTCCTGCCCCATCATCCACCATTTGCTAGCAACTGACCTAGCTCAGTGTTTTCTAATGTTTGAGCCAATTTTGTGACTACAGATAACCTAACCCACTTTAAGCCTTTGAAAACAGCAATGTAAGGAGGTTTAGTCTACTGGAGGGCAACAGACGTCGGTGTCATTTAACGAGAGAAATACTGTTCCCATTGACATCAGTGACAAAACTCTCACTGACTTCAGTGAGGTAAGGATTTCACCCAACATTTTTACTCATGATTTAGAGGAAGGTATAAATAATAGCACATTCATTAAATAAATAATAAGAATAATGAAAAAGGCAGTTGTTGTGAGCACCAGTGAAAACAAGGAAATAATGCAAAGGGATTTAGAGAGGTTAAAAATATAGGCAGGATACAAAAACTATTAATTCTAGAAAAATGCAAGCTAATAGTTCGGGGGGAACAATCCAAAACACAGTTATGTCACAGCAAGGAAAGCAGTAAAAGTGAAGAAAATGTAGGCTAACAGTATGCGTCAAACTAGATGTCATCTCGCAGTGTAATAAGGTGGCAAAAAATAAGCCAGTATGATTTTGGGCTATATAGGAAGAGGCAAGTAACACGTTCAAGGAAGTGATAATCCCTTCTCTACACAGCTCTAGTGAGACTGCATCTAGGTTACTGCATAAAAGGGACACTGAAATCTACTGGATTGAACAAAAGTTTCCCAAACCAACTAGCTGAAACTTTGAAAAATGAGTCATTTAAAATTAGTCTGGACAACCCAATGGACTACACAACATAGAGAAAACATCCTGCAATTGCCACAGGGATGGATGAAAATGGCCCAACAGATTTTGTTCATCTCTAATTGTCTCTAATTTCCATCCAAACAAAGGAGTAGACATAAATATGGTTAATGAGAACAGACACAGTTGCATTAGCTAGGATAAAAATAATCGAAATATAAACCCTTCTGTTTCCACCACTAATTGATGGGGATTAGGGAAAAAAACTTCCCTGTGGGCAGGTTATTCTGTAATTGTCCATTTTAGGGATTATTCATTCTTCCTCTGAAGCAACTGGTACTTGACAATGTTAGAGACATGATCCTGGACTGGATGGACCTTGGGTCTGATCCAGTATGGCAATTCCTGTGTTCCTATGAGTCACAGAAGACCCCTTTCAAGTGCTGGATTTAGGTTTGATGGAGGAAAGGGGGATTATTTTCATGAAGGGAGAAAACCTACCAACATCTTTACAAATAATGGGGTCAGATCTTTCTTGCAGGCCTTGATTCAACAAAGCCCACAAGCATATACTTAACATTAAGCATGAGAGCAGTCCTACTGAAATCAATGGGATTAGTCATCTGTTTATGTGCTTGGCAGGACTGGGGCCTTAGCTACATCAGTATAAATCTGAAGTAACTCCACTGAAGTCAGAGGAGCCCCTCCTGGTTTACGCTGGTGTAAATGAGAGCAGAATTCAGCTCATTGTTTACCGGTGAAAAGTATACAACAACTGAAAGTTCTTAAAACATTACCAGATACTTTTCCCTCCTACATTTGCT